CACCACCTCCTAACACTAAGTTTGTCACATGTTATTTAATATTACATAAAGCTTTTGTTTTTGTTTTGTTTTGTTTTTGTTTGTTGTTGTCTGTTTGTTTGCTTGCTTGGGTTTTGTTTTGCTTCCTAGTTTTGTTTTGTGCTTCGTAATTGCAGTTCTTATTTTAATCTACATTTCTGCATTGCGGTTCCTGTAACTGTCCTACTTGTGAACATTGACAAGTACAAGTTGCAATGTTGTAAACTATAATAAAAATTGATTTTAAAAAATGGATGATTGTGAAATGGTGTAGCCAGCCATGCAATCAGAATATGGGAATTCTCAGAAGAACTGATTCAAGCAATAACTTGGATTTCAGAAATGCCTTATGCACTATTAGTCCTACCCAGGTAGTAGACAATAGGGTCTGGACATTGACACGTCCCTAACAGTATGGGTTTCAACAAACTTTAAAGGACAATTCAGATTGGAAACTTCTAACTTTAGGATGGGAAGACTTTAATTTGTTTATTCATTTAAGAGAGCTTCAGCAAAGTCCAAGACAAACTTTTCTTTCTTTTTTTTTTTACATCTATTCACCCAAAAAAGCACTATTAGTGTACAAACTTGGTTGATTGTGATTGTATGTGTTTATGAGTTGTACTGAGGCAATAAAAGTCCCAGTTGTTCACTTCCAAGTCAACTCCTTTTGTGAGTCACATACATAGACCTAAAAATGCAATACATGTTTTATCTCAATACCAAATAATGCTAAGGGGTTTGCGGGAGTGTGCCTAATGGCTGGACCTTAATCAACAGAGACTGGTCAGGTGCAGCTTGAAGAGATAAAAATGGGTCTGCCAACTTGTGGGCTCGTCTGTTGCAGATGTGCCCTAGGGAGGAGCTGGACTGTGTCCCCATCTTAGAACTCTAGACTTCGGCACTCCCATAAAGAATGACAGTGGATATGGGTTATGATTAGAAGGAACATAAACTTATCAAAACCAAGAGTGGTCCCTTTACCCTCCTTCGCTTTCATATATTTTTGTTGCCCACTCAACTATTGTGTTTTCTGTTTCAATTCAAATATGGATAGAAGTTTTTAATATGGCCTTGTTGAGACATTAAGCATGAATTCTTGGTATTCTTCTTTTAAGTCCCTTGATTGGTAAGGTTGCTTGAAGCAATCTCAAATGAAAAGTATGCTCCGCCTTCTTCTCTGATGGGTGGTGTGCAAAACTAAACAACACAGCATGTCAATAAAAGAGAATGGCAAACAATAAAACTTAATGACTGGTGTAAAAAATGCAGAAAGCTGCCATGTGCTCATCTTTGCATAACAATTTAGTCATGCTTGTTTTACTGTATTCCTGTGTTACTACTAGTGTATCATCTCCTCAGTTTTCTTTTTCCTGTCAGCTACAGGGACAGTTTCATCTAAATGAGATGCACAAGACTGGAGATGTGGTTCTGGGGGGACTGTTTCAAGTCCACTTTTCAAGTGTTTCTGATCTGTCTTTTACCTCACAGCCACAACAGCCTACTTGCCATGGGTAACAATGACGGAAAAAAAACTACAAAAAAAAAGAAAAAGAAAAAGAAAAACTATCAAACTTAATTCAAAGAAAATATTTTGTATCTAAAATAACTATGCCATTCGGAAATAAATGCATGTATCTTGAAAAATGCAGCTGCTTTTATTAATGTTAAACAATACATTTAATTGTTATTGTTGAATTTTCTTAATTGTTTATAATATTAGTAATTTTGCAACATATGTTACATTTTAAAAATCTTGTTGTTTATTCAATAATAACTTTTTCTTGTCTTAGTGTGTATGTCCTAGGATTTAAGCTCGCACAAACCATGGCGTTTGCTATTGATGAGATCAACAGAAACACAAACCTGCTACCTAATGTGACTCTGGGATACACTCTGTATGATAACTGCCTTGAACTTGGAATTGGATTCCGGGGAGCACTGTCATTAGCCAGTGGTCAAGAGGATCAAATTGTAGTAGATGATACATGTGTTGGAAATCCTCCAGTTGTAGGGATTGTGGGTGATTCATCTTCTACAAATTCTATTGCAATCTCCAACGTCTTAGGTTTGTACAGAGTACCTATGGTAAGTTTTCTACTTGACCATGTGACTGTTTTCATGGATTAGTTTGATATAATTGAAACTGTAAAACCATTTTATGAATAAAAAAATAATGCAGTCATGATGACAAAGTTACGATATTTCTACGTGGATAGCTCTCCAATATACAGTCTGTATCTTTCACAGGTGAGTTATTTTGCCACATGTTCCTGCCTGAGTGACCGTCAAAAGTATCCATCCTTCTTTAGAACGATCCCAAGTGATGCTTTCCAGGTAAACATTTGTCACCAAAATAACAATGGAAACACAAAAGTATTTTTGAAGAAGACAATATT